ACACTAGGTGCTTATTTTAAAAACTTTTAAATACAAAAATAATTTTTTTTGGTATGTTAAGCACATGTTGTATCATGTTTTTTTTATCGTTACATTAATATTCCTAAATGGGGCGAAATCTTACATACAATGCAGCGGTTTCAAAAGCGTTTTGTTGTTGTGAAACTGTATTTAGACGGTATTTAAACTAAAGTATATCTATCTAAGAAGTAGTTCGACTTTCTGTTTACATCACATTAATGCAAATACTCACCAATGTTTGTATACAAAAAGTTCCCTTAGCTAAAAGAGTTAAGCAGTATACCTTCTTATTTTAATTTTTATATACATAAGAGTTTTTGGAAGAGGGAAAGAGTACGCAACAGACATCTACCTGTTTTTTTATAATGTATTGTTAAAGGCGTACAAGAGTGTTTTTTTCGTATGTTTTTTAAGTATAGAGAAAAATATTAAACATTTTAAAGACTATAAGAGCACTTTTGTAATTTATTCCTCTATAAGGTGGCAAAAACTGCGTTCCATATTATAATAAAGTTGGGTCAAACCAATGGTTTGTATTGTAGCACTTTTCCCTTCAACAAGTGAAAATTCTGCTTTTAAATACAGTCTATGTATAGCTATCACACTATTAAAATTATTTTCATTCATATACAAAACTATTTCTAGGATTGCATATATTTAGGATGACGCATATATGCAGTCTTTGAAATAAAGCAAAGATTAATATAAAAAGGGGTTAACATAACGCTCGATTTTAAGGGTTAATTGTGTGAGTTAAGAAAAATAATTATATTTTTTAATTTCATTGAATTTACCGTTAGCTTTTTGCGTTTATAAAAATTTGGAAAAGCTTGCGGTTTCGGAAATATAAGGTGTCAAAAATTCAAATTTTACGAATTTCAAGAGGTGATAACTTGAGAGGGGGTGGAGATGGAAAAAAATTTTCTTCTAACAAAATGAACTATTTATTAATATCTAAAAGCTCCTAAAATTTCAAGCTTCTACAGTCTGGGGTCTAGAAGAAAAACCACATCAAAAATTTGGAAAAAAAGGACTTTAAATAACGGTAAATTAGAACGGCCATTTTGTTTTTCTTAAATTGAACTATAGTATACCGCGCAAGGGGAAGCAAGCCACTGCCTTTCTGCCTTTGCAAAATTTCAAAAATGCTTATGGTTTCATTGCAACAAATATTTAAAAAAGGCCATTTTTAGGGTTTTGGGGGGGTATAACTTCTAGAGGGGGGGAGATAGGTAAAAATTTTGTTCTACGGAAATAAGTTTCTAGTGAAGATCTATGTACGTATTAAATTTCAGCTTTCTATCTTCAAAGGTGTAGAAGTTTTGTAAACAGACACACGGACGGACGGACGGACGGACGGGCGGACGGACGGACGGACGGACGGACGGACGGACGGACAGAGTGAAACTAATAAGCACTTTTTTCAAAAATTTTTTTGGAAAAGTGCTAAAAACGAAGCGATAAAAAAAACTGTGTGTTAAAATAAATAAAAATAATTTATATATAATTTTCAAAAATAATAAAAATAAATTTCAAAAAGGCAAATAATATTAAAAAAAATTTTAATTTGTGGTTAGTAATATTATCAATTTATTTATTGAGGTTCATAACACAAATATATGTTATGAATTTTTTGTTTTTATTTCAATATTGTCTCTAAAAATTTCAAATACATATTTCCTGTGAATATATTTACACACCTATCGGGAATAACAATATTTTATAAAGTATTTATTTGTACGTATACAGATTTTTTTCTTTATAAATTGCTTTCCCCCGTGGGTTGGGTAATAGAAACACCCAAAGCAGGCATGCTGGTGATACGAGTTCACTAAAATTTGGAAAAATCCAGACGCGTCTGATCCAGAATGGACGACCCCTGGTCTGTGTCTGATCCCAGAGGGACTGGCAAAAATAATTGCATAGAGTTGCAAGGTCTAATCCTATGGGGAAGTTAGAAGAAAAACCATAGAAGGTTATGTAAAAAGAAGGTCTGAAGAAGACAATAAAAGTAAAGCCCCTGAGGTTAAAAGTTAAGATTACTGGGACTGCAGAATGCAGTTTCGATTTGCAGCGAGAAAGACAAGTTAGGTCGTGTATGAAACGGACGAGTATAAGTTGGGTAGAGAAACCGATTGGATTCTTAAAACCAAAAGAAACCCAAAGAAAAGCCAAAAGTTCGACAGAAATGGAACCGGCACTAGAAATTAATATGTAGCACGAGAGTAGAGAAAAGAAATCTCTGTGGTATAAGTAAATAAAGTAACTAGTTACACGCAGCTAATAGGGATCCTCAAAGAGGAAAGTATTAACGTGAAGGTAAACATGCTGAACAACGATCAACTAAAAATAAATGTTGAAAATGAAAATGGATAGCAAAATAAATTGACGAGGAAAATCTAAGTAATGGTCAGATATCTACACCCATTAAAATTAAAAAATAAAAGAAAATAATATTATGTAAATAATATTAAGTTGCTCCTTTCTATGCTGTTCTTCGATTACATCGAAGATATAAATAAAATATATAAAATAAAATATCTTCAGCAAATGAGAGTAAAAGTTAAACCTCTTAGAAATAATGGATTCCTCCCGCAATGCAAGAAATGCCAGAGGTTCGGTCATACACCAAGATTTTACCAAAGAGGGTCTAAATGTGTTTAATGTGCTGGTAATATGATGGCAGAATGTAATAGGAAAGATAATTTTCAGACCAGGTGCGCAAACTGTAACGAGGCTCACCATGCTAGTTACAGGCGGTTTACTTGCTAAGGAATTACAAAAAAGGAGAATAAAAAGGAATCGACAGATAATCACCAACAACGATTAATGCTTTTACGTCATAACGTAAAAAATGGTGTTTCATACTCGCAAAATGGCAAATAATTGTATAGATAAAAGTCCTAAGAAAGGCATAATAATAAGGAAATTAACAAAAATACAATGCAAAAACCTAAAGAAATTTACGGCATCATAATGCAAATGGTGCAAAACGTGCTACAAAGAATTGACGAAATCTCAATGAGGTTCAACTTGTTGTGGTTAACATTGAGTCTACTAAGCAGGACTTCAGTATATTGTCCACCGTTATATTTTGCTTCAGTATATTGCTCACCGGGATATATCGAAAAAAATTTAAATATCTTCTATGCGCGGGAGGAAACCGATTCTTACTGAGAGATAACTATAATGTCAAATATGTGGATTGAAGCTCTAGATTGACCTCTACTAGAGGTAGAGAACTAAGGCAAGCCAGTCGGGAGTTAGGATGCTCCTATCATTCTACTGCGGTCCGACTTATTGGCCTACTGATGCTAACCAAGTCCCGGATATTATTGAATTTCTTATATCTAAAAGAATTTCAGCAAATTTTTTGAACTTGGAAAATTGTTTTAATATGAATTCCGATCACTTTGCTGTGATATTAATTCTTAGTAAGAAAATAGGTTTGGGTAGGCTTCAAATATGATGTTATTAAACATATCTTAATGCTAAAACCCGGACGAGACATCAACTGGATTTTGAGGTTGAGGGCTTTATCAAATTGATACAGAAAGCCGCCTGGAAAAATATAAAATTCTCTGAATTCAAACCTGTGTCAAGTAATTATCCTAAAAATAACTGAAGAAGGGCTGGACGAAAATGGTAAGAGTCGCATCACCCAGACGATAAAATGATTGTGAATAGACTTTCTTAAACAGTCAAAAGAAAAATAGGAAATGTTACACCAGTATCATACGAGAATTATATAGAGTACGAAGAAGCTGATTTTTAAACTCGTATCTAGTGATTTCATACATTCGAATTTTTTAACCTAACTTTTATGAAATGAAAAATAAAATATTTTGAAAAATAAATTTTGTTGTCGTCAAATTAAAAGTAATAAAATGTTTACCTAACTTAGTTTAATTTTATTTAAGTTCGATGTTTTGTTTCTTTTTTGCCTACACAACTCTTGTTACGATCTACTTCTTAATAAAAATGTAATATTTTGAGAATTTGGAAGCAAAATGCAAACGAAAAATAACGGAATGGGACGACTAATAGATATATTTTGATTTAAACTGTATTAAAACTTTTTCTACTGCGTTTTGGAAGTCACAGATTACTAAATTATCAGTAAAATTGATAAGTTAAATACTCGTAAAATAAATCGTTTTTATTTTGACAAATTCTATAAAAGGAAAACTTGATTTGCAACATTTGATTATGAACACAAATATTGCCCAATTTTCACTGTATATCACAATATACCCTTTTTATGAGAAAAGTTAATATGATGTATATTCTAACTTAATAATGAAACGAGAAATTTGAAGCTTTTACAAGTATAAAACGTTATTTAACCCCCAGTGTATTGTTTGATACTCACACAAAAATTATAATAGAAGAAATATACCTTTGAAGCTCATTAAATTAAGTTTTTCAGCTACAAAAAACGTCTTTATATTAAAATCAATGGCGATTATAATAAGTAAAGTTCCTATTTACAGTTTATTGTCTAGTAAAATTCTAATATACAATCTATAAAAACTTTAAATATTATTACAGAGATTCAAAAAATTACAAAACATTTACCTGTATGTATTAACAGCTTACCCAAAAATTATTATGTTTATTATGTTTTATGAAGTTATTGTTTTACAGTTTAGAGGGAGTTTCCAAGAATTCAGATATGCACAAAGAACCAAAATTCGTAATTGCAACATAATTTTATGGATGACATGATTTTAATTTATACCTATTTAAACAAAATGAAACATAATGTTGGCACAAGTTTACAATCTGAAACTAATTTCGTTCACTATTAATGTAAAAGTTATTGTTATAGCTATTTTAACGGGAATAAAAATAAATTTCATATTTAGAATACAATTTTAATATCAAATTTAAAATTCATAAAAATTTATTTCTTCTCAAAAGCTCAAAAATTTTTTATTTTATACTTTTAGACCTTATAAATATGACTAGAGGTTTATTGTGGATCTTAAATTACATGTCTAATTAATGACTTAGAATTATTATACTTATGCTTAATTGGCAGCTCTATATAAAATAATTAATATGTAATATAAAATAAATAATTGGTTTTTAAATACATATGGTAAATACTGAATGGTAATATTTCTAAACTCACATTAAATTTGGATATTTTATGCTTTTAGTAATTAAAATTATCATATCAATAAATAATTTGTGCTCCGTAAAATATTGTATTTATATAAATATTTATTTGAATATGAATACTTATTAAAGCATTGAGACGTTATATACGGTTTTGATTATTGCAATCCGGAATTATCATCGTGTGGCTCTTGCAATAATGCTTGTAATTTTGCAGCAGCTGGTAAAGTAGCCATATCAATAGGAGCGGCACCAGTTGCATTTTGTATATACGCCAATAGTCGCCTTAATTCATCCAAAGCATTTTGTTGCATTAATATATAATTTTTAGCTAATAAAAGTGTAGCAATTTTTGACAATTTTCTTACAGATGGTGAATGAGCATATGGTATAACAGAACGTAATTCATCCAAGGCGTCATTTAAATCATGCATCCGACGACGTTCACGAGCATTTATATTTAAACGAACCGATTTTCCTTGACGATTTTTTTGTTTCCCAGTATGAGCACTTGTAGTATTGATACCACCAGGAATCATACTGGCATTACCATTATTTCCAACACTAATTCTATTTCCAATTCCAGTTGGTATATCACCACTTGAATATGGTCCAGATCTTGAAGAAATATTACGTTCAGGATTCGTGTTCTCACTTTGATGTGACGACTGTGCCATATTGCTATTAGATGATGTTGTTTGGCAATACAATCCACTAATTCCGACAACACCCAAAGGTGTTCGACGACCAGGAACACTTTGTGTTGGACTTGATGGTCCTATTATTGTTTGCGATGATGTCAGAGGCGGTGGAGGCAGGGATGGTGGTGGAAAAGGTGACCCAATTGCAGCTGATGACATTTGTGCTAAATTTGCGGGTAAAGAGAATCCAAAATTAATAGTGGGTTCCATTTATTTTAAAGCGAATCAATGTTCGTCCCAATAAGAAAAAATTGTTTTTGTAAGGTGATAGCTGAAGAAAAAACCTCTTTGACTTCTTGAATCTTCTTTTTTTAATTATAATATATTTTATTTTCAAACAATGCTAATTAAATATTGAACTAGAAAAAAAAACCAAAAAAAGGAAAATATTTAAGTTTATATTATATGAATAATAAGTGTATATTATATCTTTATTTAAAGAAAATTTATAAAAGGTCTTAGTGCAAGTCTTTAAAAGTATTAATATCAAAAGTTAGATATTTTTAGCCAAGATTTTTTATTGCATTTGTTAATAAAATGCTACACGCTATTGACTATAAAAAAACTCACATTCTGAATTCATGATGTTATGAATTCAAAATATAACCGCATATTAAAAACATAATCATTTGCGCAATAAACTCGTTTTCGAGCTACAGCGTGTTGAAATAAAAAATAGCCGATTTTTCTTGCGTCTAAATAAACTTCAGAACCATGAAACATAGAGTAACTATCGTGGGATTGTTTTACAGGCGATTGATTGCTTTTTATTTTTGGCTTTACAATTAATTTGATATGAACCGCAGTTTTCGCGATAAAGCTCGTCAAGGTCTGAATTTTTATTTTTTTTTAATTTCTTTTTTAAAAACTCGAAACCACATTCAAAATATTATTTTTTGTTATAAACATATCCAAAAGATAAATAATAACAATCTCAAAAATGTCCGAAAAAGCGGTAAGTACAAATACCGATCGATAATTGTTTTTATCGGTATGACACCCACGCTTACAGGTTGGCGTCACAACTGAACTTTTCAGTTAGTCCAGAAAAATATGGTTTTGAAAAGGTAAATCAATAAATTTAAGTGATCTCTGGGGGCCTGGGACTCTGGCACAATCGGAGAACTGGACAAGCTAGTTGGCACTCTTCCAGAAGCTATGTACAATGTTTTCAGATCGGCATATTTTTGACTCGACTAAGAGGAAAACGAAAACCGCAATGTTAGACTGTGAAAAACGCTGCAGGACCAAATTCAACCGAGCAAAGCGAACCAGAAAAGTCGAGAACAGCGTGAGCATAAAAATTACACCTGTGCTGATGTACGGAGTTCTGGTGCGGTGGTCTGCGTCGGGTAGTTCCATCAACATAAAACTGGCACGCAAGGTCCAAAGGATGACATTGATGTGCACTGTGGGAGCATCGCACTTAACTCCTACACAGACTCTTGAGATGCTTCTGCACATTCTTCCAGTTGACATTCTCGAGAAGCAAATTGTGGCAGAATCGGATTTGCGTTACATGGCGGATCTAATGTCTCTCCCTCGGCGTGACTCTCAGAGCTGCCATAGGAATTATAACTGGGCACTTTCTGATTAGCGAACACGCCAAGAGAAAGGAGGGCCGCGCCGCGCTCATTGCAGGAACTGACGGAAAGAGGAGAAGACGGTGGCTCATTTTTTGTCCTCATGCTCAGCTTTAGCACAAAGAGAGGGTGGAGGTTCCTTGGATCGCATTTCTTTTTTGCGAATTATGGACAAATATAAAGGGCAGGGATCTAAACTGGTTTATAAAAGACTCTGGTTGGTTCACATGAGGGTAGGGATATGGAGATTCAGCGGTTTCATAACGTGTCTACTTGGCCTAAGTGTATCCTCGTTTAGCTCTTTTGCCACTACCTTTGACCTCTTCAATCAAAAATATATTTTGAGGCGAAATAAATTAAAATATCGAAATTTTCAATATCAGCATTTCAAATTTATATGCCTCAAAATTAATCAAGCAAGGTATATAGGATTTCAACTTTCAATGATATTATCTACATCAAAAAAGCACTTAATATACAACAAAACTATTAGTTTCAGTTTCGAAAAGTGTTCAATCCTAAATAAGTTACTTTTATTTAACAAAATAGAATTTTTATTTTAATATTTTCTTTGTTTTATTTTTCATAAATGTATTACAGCTAATAATTTTACTTTATACATATTAATTTTTATTTACATATTAATTTTACATATTAATTTATACATATTAATTTTTATTATGTATACAATACGGTCGGCAAAAATGTTTTACATTTTTGACCATTTTGAAAAAAATATTCAACCGATTTACTTGAAATTTCATATATAAGCTTCGCTCGACCGTTTGCAAAACCTCCTAACTTTTGGAAGAAATCAGGCGTCAAGAAATGGACGTTTACTATGGGCCAAATATACATGTTTGCGTATTTAAGGAGAAATAATTAACCGATTTAATTGAAAATTAATATTTAAGTTCTTCGTATTAAAATAATGAATCTATAAATTTTTTGGAAAGATCAGGGCTCGAAAACTGATCTGTGGGCCGATTTTACATTTTTCACCATATCTACGAAACGAATTGATGGAATTTCTTGAAATTTGATTTTCGAGTTCTGGCTGTTACCGAAACTAACAGGCGAGCATTTTAGGGAATTCGGGTAGCACAAAGCGAAACTCTACTAAAAGCCAAATTTACATTTTTCTAGGTATGTTAACTATAAGCTTACTAATGTCCTAAAAATTGGAAAGAAGTTTTTAACAGACATTTTTATAATATTCTGTAACACTTTCACTTAACTTAACTTTCACTTAACTAGACAATACACATTGCGGTCGGTTATGTGCTGACCATATCAGATTTTTATTTTTAATTTTCAAAATAAAATATACTGTATTACTCAAATTTTAGAATTTGAAATTTTTAGATATTGTGGAAAAGACGTTAGAAGAAAGGCAAATATGTTCGAAAATATTTCTGGGCGTGACCCAAACGTTCGATAAGCTTCTTTGCAATTCGTGAAGTTACTGGAATTATATTTATCTGATAAGTTTTTTCGAATTAAACAGGACGAGGAGTACTCTACGCTTAGGAAAATTAGGGTTGGTGTTCCTCAAGACAGTATTAAACGTGCTTTATACAAGCGATTTGTCATATTTAGAAAGTGTAACTTTGGCTACATTTGCGGAGGATACAGCAATATTGGCAATGGGATCTAATGTTGAAAAATCGACAAAAAAACTACAGGAAGCAAATAACAATATAAGTAGATGGACAAATACATGGAAAATAAGGCTAAATGAAAATAAATCTGCACATGTGAATTTTGCAAACAAAAATTTAGTGAACCCACCACAATTGAGTTTAAATGGTGCTAAAGCATTAATCCAAAACACAATGAAATACCTAGGTATGACTTTGGATGTCAAGCTCACAAGGAAAGAATATATAAAGAAAAAAAGAATATAATTAGAAAATAAATAAAAAGAAAACTACAGGTTCCTAGGTCGTAGGTCTGCATTGTAAACATACAATAAACTGTCGACATGTAACCAAATGATAAAGCATATATAGTTGCAAGGACGTATGGCTTGCAACTATCAGGTTATGCCAAGTCAACGCATATAAAACAAATACAAACTTTTCGGGATAAGGTCTTTTGCAATATGGTGGGTGTTCCCTGGTATGTGCGCAATAGTGACATTCATAGGAATCTGAGATTCCTCCAAGTAAGTCACGAGTTGCCATGAAACATGATACGCTTTTAGAACAGTATGTTAAGGCCTCTCGTCTTATTTAGTTTGGACAAAAAAACTGAAGCGAACAAGAACTCCCAACCTAGCCTAGAATGCTGTGACAGCACTTCCGTGCCTTCCTTCACGGAATGTAGACACAAATGACGATAGGGCAAAACTAGTGGTTACTCAGTCTGAACGGTTTTGGAATTTTATGACCATCCAGGTGCGTTTGAAGTTGGGTTAAAGTCCCCCATTATTGATAGGTCTAATGACAGTTTGGGTTCGCTTATCTTTGTCTTTCGATAATGTTTAACACCTGCTTTAAAAAAAAATGTATTATTAAATTTTTTTTATATTTTTTTATATTCTTATTCGTTAGCGCGCAACAGTTGACGTCTGAACGAAATTAATTTCAATAATATAGTACGCAGATTGTTTTCAATTGTAGTATTTTCACTTCATGAAAGGAAAAATGCTTCATTACAAAACATTGGTTTGACCCAACTTTATTAATTTTGGTTCTGTTTCTATTGTCGAACATAACAATGTTTTTATTGTCGAGCTGGACTCTAACTAACAAAAATTCTATTAATATTTCGTTAATTTTTCATGTAAGTGCTTATGTTTGGGTAGCGCATGCACATATAGTTGGGTATTATCATTGTATGTAAAACATGAAAATCTAGCCTATTTATTTTTGGTTACTCTATAAACTCTTCATTTATCAAATTAAAAGTAAACACTACAATTTGTTTTACTTTAAAAATAAAACCATTTTCAAAATGGTGTTGTTCAATCCAAATTACATTCAATATTTAAAATACACACAGTATATTTTGAGAATAATCTTTGGTAGGAAATACGGGTATGTTCGAAAAGTACTATTACTCTTAAAGCTATACTCTTAAAGCCCTAAAATATATTTTTTTTTTATTTAAAATATAATCTTTTTCTTGCAATTTTCAAATTACGCAATTTAACGATTTTTTTTATTTTGCAACTTATTTAAAAAACGACAAAAAGCTGAGCCATATCATAGTAGCAACTAATATACTCGTATATGTAAATAATAAAACCGTGGCGATAAATACAGCTTCAAAAGCAACATAAAAAACCCCTAAAAAGCTTAAAGTTATTACGTGTTCAATTTTTTTTTGTATATTATTTGTTAATCTAAAATGAGACATGAGAAATTAAACTTTATAGATTTTCTTTTCCATTATTTTAAAAAGGGGCAAAAGAGCAAGTGTAAGAATTTATTACAATATTATGTAGTAACTTGCCTATGCTGGCAAGATAATGGTATGGTAGTGATGAAGCAGCTAATTAAGAAAGGCGCGCAACGCAAGTGAAGCGCTTAATTTATTGTATTTTTGTTTTCTAATTTATTTATTTTAGAAAATTTTTTTCCTCCTATAATTAATAAATTATTTTGTGTTTATACATGCATACATACAAATTAAAGCGTATTATTTAAAACTTTATAGTTTTTGATTTTTTGTTTCAACTATGGAAAAGTGATGAAAATTGATAATAATTATTGAGTGATCGGTTGTGATATAGAAATATGCTGGCGCAAACAAACATGGCTACAATAATA